TGATCCTTTTCAACCGGATGATTCTAAAAAGCACGAGTCCCACACAACTCTAGAAAACATCCGCGTTGTTTTAAAAATTTTTAGACGATTATTTTCCATATCAAGGCTTAAAAGAGCATGTGCTAAAATTAAAGTTCATGAAGTATTGTTAAGATTTCATTTATTTCTTATTTTCAGTCTCTAGTTTTACTTTTATCACTACCGGATATTCAAATTTTGCATTCTACATTGCAATGTTTGTTGATATTTTCGCAGAGGTATATACTTGAGTTTCTCGATTATTTTTAGTCCGTCGGCCCTTGAATGCTTACGGTCTCTTCCTCTCTTTGATCCCTTATTGAATATAATTACTAATCTTGGTGAACCAGAAAAAAGGTTTAACTTCTATGCATTTATTTCTAAAGATTGGCATCCTGTCTTCTTAGAAAGATTCTTGAATCTAGGTCAAGCAGACATGCCCTTCTTGGCAATCCAGAGGCCATCCCCGGGCTTATAAGCGCGCTCAACCTGCTTATACAACGGCATGAAGTAATTAAATATTGAATAAGTGTGCAAATTATTCATTCATAGTTTATTTAAGCTTAATTATTAGTCTACTCATTTGTTATTCCTTGTAGTTTTCGTAATAGTTTATTTCCTAAGGTGAATATTCACTTTAATATCTTGCTTTATTTTTTACTTAGTTTAGGCTCTTTAGTTTTTTTCTAAGAATTCGTCATTGTATATGTATCAGAAGCGACATTAAGTAAATATTTTCATAAGATACTGGCTGACGAACTAGTTCTTTCAACTATTTCCATTAATTACACGTTAAACGTTCCTTTATAGCAAATTAGACCTTTTTTTTGCTATGCTTTAATCACATTGTAAAGATATGAGAGTTGGGAAATAAACGAAATAGATGAACTTGGATTTAGAATCCTCTCTGTATATTTGGACAAAGTATTTCAAAAATTAGCATTTTGTATTGCGCTATTAAGCTATTTTCTACGGATCTGAAAATCAAATATTTTCGAAATCCATTGATATAATGCTTTCTAAATTTTTTACATATTATTTTTCGAATTCCATCTTTTATAGTGATAAGGAGGAAAATCTGAGGATATTTAAAATGTAAAAAATTAATCTTTTTAGTTTTATTGATATAATATACTTTAACTTCGTTCAAGGGCTAGTTTGAAGATAACGATCATGTATATTACTTATAACATTTCTTGCAAGTATTTAGTCGGGTAGATTGTGATTGCTTGAATTATTAAATACAACAACAACCATTTTACATTATTATCTATCTTTGACGGGTCCACATTGAGATTTTGTCTGTCTGACTTAAAATGTTTGTGTTAATGAAATAAATTGAATATTAAAGCTAGGGTATAATCTTGACTGAAGATTTATCAACCATATAAGAGCTCTCAAAGAACTTTTGGACTAAGGAACTAATTATTATGCAAATTGGGTAAGTTTTATGCGCATTTATTCAAAAATATAGTAAACTAAAACAGCATTGCAGCACGAAACCAACTACTTTACTGGGAACCAAGTTAGGACTATTAAAATTATACTAAAACTAATAAAAGTAGTCTTCTTTCTATAGTTAATTTTCTTATTTTGATCTTCATCTCTATGCTTTATGACAAAATAATCACAGTTAAGATTATAAAAATTCCTAGTACTTTTACTATACACAATAGTCCATGAACTCTAATCGCTCCTAACATTCGCACAATAGATGTAGGAATAAATAATTTTATGTCATTCTTTTATGCAAGTGAGGTATTATACTTTTTATTTACCCATTATTTTATGATTTTTGGGTTTGTAATTTCTATAAAAGCTTTGAAAGATATTTTTTTCTTATAGAAATACATTTTCATTGTGATTTTATTTTTAACTTTATTTAAGTACTAGCTCTATTCGTGCTTTTGATGAATTTTTTCCTTGCACACTAACCGAGTTACTCTCATTTATTACTAATTAAGCCTGTCAAAAAAGTCGATAAAAACAAAGCAATATGTATTCAGGATCCCCAAGAAGATGATATTCAAAAGGCTGCTGGGTCTTCAAAGAAGTCAAGGGCTGAAATTGATTGCTCTTACCTCTCGGAATATTTTACAGGCAGCCTCATCTATCTTTCCTCATGGCACATAGCTTGGTGCCTAGTTCAGCTAGCTGAAGAATCAGAGGCAGCAGAATTAATCCGTCTATGCGGTGGCATTCCAATATTTCTTTCCATATTTAAGTAAGGTCAAGTACCATATTGATTTAGTGAATTTTTTTATATAGATGGCGACTGAAGTTTATTTTATGCCGCTCATACTTCATAAATCCTGTCCCATATATATATGTATATATAGACATTATATAAACACTTTTTCAATTATTATGACATTTTATTTGAGGTCTGATTTACTGGCTTCGACCTCAGG